AAGGGGGAATGACTTTAAACTGAAAAGGTGTAGGTTTAGATTAGATATTAGGAAGAAATCCTTTACTGTGTGAGGATGGTGAGGCACCGGAACAGGTTGCCCAGAGAAGTTGGTGATGCCCCATTCCTGGAAGTGTTCAAGGCAGGGTTGGATGGGGCTTTAAGCAACCTGGTTTAGTGGAATGTGTCCCTGCCCATGGCAGGGGGATTGGAATTAGATGATCTTTAAGGTCCCTTCCAACCCAGGCTGTTCTATGATTTGTGCAAGCAGGGAGACAGATCCTGACTCTGTTTAGTGAAGCACTGAAAACACAGATATCCCTAAGCAGTGTTTTGACACTGCTTGAGCTTCAACACAGCTCAAGAGCGCAGGACAAAGAGGCTACTGAAAAAAATGTCACCCCTCACTCTGAAACCTCCATCACAGTACAGTTTGCAAGAGGTTTTCTCTGAGCAGGATGGATGACAGATGACAGAAGAAGCATGCTGGCAGCTACAGGTGCCTTGTCCAGACCAGGGTTTCCATCACAATGCTCTGCACAGAGTGGACCCAGCTAGCAGCACTGGGAAGTTTTAATGGAAAAGGCTGGTGGAGGCACGCCTCTGAGTAAGGTAATCTGGGCAGCCAGCTGGGAGTATGATGTTACACTGATGCACACTACATAAAGAGATATGCCAGTCTGACTCCTGCCTCCATTTCCATATAGCTTGATAATGACTTTTTCTCCTTAGAGGGTAAGGGGATCTTTCCCAATCATATTTCAGGGCTGAGAGCTTCTTTGATCAGGACATCGTGGTCTGAAATCTTGAAATAGGGTATGTATGAAATCTGGGAGGAAGACTACCTCATCAGCAGGGTTATTAATGTGACTGGGACTATTTCGTGCTAGCAGAGTGGGACCCCATTACTCCTTCCTCAGGTCTAGGATAGAAAATGAACCATTTCAGGTCTCCTGGGAACAGTGTTTTTGTAATTCCCATGCAGTTCCCCAGGGAATGCAGCAAAGGAGTTCCACAGTGTGTGCCCTCGGTGAGAAAACAAAGTCAGTTCTTTTTACACAAAATCGTGTTCTTAAGTATTGGACTTGTTGATTCAGAGATGCACGTAAATTATAGCCTGGATTTCCACTTGCAGAATGAAAAATGTTTTGTTCTAATAATAAATACTGAATCTCTGCTGTTCCCATTTACATAACACACATGACACAATGTATAAATCCTCAACAATATTTTTTCAGAATTTAGCAGCTTGTTTTTCTGCAAACATAAACATTTATTTTTGGTGTTAATAATTAATAATATGCCACATGCCCATAATAAATGCAAAATCTAATCTTGTATAGACATAAATGTGTCTGCCAAAGTGGTCTTTCTGTGCTGTAAATGACTTTCACAAAGTGGTAGCATATATTCTATTTTCAGTCACTGATGTTTTGTTTTGTGAACAGATATGTCATTAAATTAAATGTTTTCTTTTGCAAATAACAAATACTTCACACATCTATTTTTTAGAAAAAAAATAGTTGATAATTATTAAAAAAAGAGAAGTGTCTAATATAAAAGTCTTTGCTGCTGTATCCTAAGCAAAATATAGACAGAAATGTGGAAAATGCCAGCAATGCAGGGAAGGAAACATCAGTTATGAGAGCATCAGTCCTCAGCTCTGCAGTGAAAAGAAGGAAATGACCTACTTGGGGTCAAAGTCACTCCAGCAGTTGGACAGAGAATAACTCTACACGGTGCAGAACAATATACTAGAGCGGTGCAGGGTAGCAGATATAGGTACATCCTTCTCTCACCTATTGATTCCTCCCTTCAGAGCCCAGTTTTTTCAGATTTCATCATTTCCTAGAAACCAGAAGCTGAGAAGCCTCCTGACAAAGCCTTAGGGTTGTATTGCTGTTAATGGCTGTCCCGCCTGGGGCCGGCGGTGCGGCACAGTGTGACTGCTCTTCCTTACGGTGTGGGCACAGCTGGCAGCACCTGCTGGGCTGAAAGCTGTAGCTGTGCTCATGACCCCTGCTTAACAAATTGGATCAGATTTTAACACTGATTTCTGGTACTAGGTGGAATGTAGTTTGTGACTTCATCTTCAGTGAAGTCACATATAACTGTGGTTTGCTAGACTGCACAGGAAATTGCCATCTTTCCAGAGTAGGCTGAGCTGACTTTTTGGGAAAGGTAGTGATATGCTAACACCAAAGGTTTAACAAAGCATGAAATGTTCTGTTAGTCGGTTTTGTACGTACTTCTTATTTATATATTTGTTCTGTTTTTATTTATACTATTCCAACCGTTAACTCTTGTCTTTGTTGACACTTTAACTAGTCAGTTCATTAGTTGTTGTTAGTAGCGGTGATGACATGAGGGTCCTCAGAAATTGGCCAAACCTTCCAGAAAAAGTAAACCTTAATATTCCACCATGAAATAAGAGAGGAGATGGAAGAGATTTATCTGGAGCATTTTCATGCTATCATTATGCATTCTGTAGGAGACAAAGATCATAAAAGTCCAGGTGCTATTCATGAGCCAATACTTATTAATCAAGTGCAAGTAGGGTGCTCTAATAAGGATGGGTTTAAAGTAACTGGGCTGGGATGACTCAGCCATCTTTATGGTGACAAACTCCCTGAGTGGAATTGTCCAAGGTGCTTTGGAGGAAAGTTTTCAAAAATTTCCTATATTCTGAATTTCTGTCTGCTCAGTTCATCTTCTGCTTGGGCACTCTTTCTGCTGGAAACACACAGCCACACAGAGCTTCACTGAGGCTTATGTTGCTCTAAAAGAACTGAGTTCTGAGTGAGCCTACTTACCTGCATGGGTGACCATAGGGTACAGCTGTCAATACAATTGATCCACAGTGTGCACAGCAAGGTTTTTTTGTACTTCCAAAAAGGCTTTTAGGAATGAAATATTCTATAGAAATGGCCAACACCAATGCAAGCTTCAGCCATTTTTCAAATATAATAGTAAACACAATATATTATAAATAGGAATAGATTGTTTGTCAAAAAGTATTGAACCTGTTTTTGAAATGGAGGCTCTCTCTTTTGATTCTATATTTTGAAAATATTTCATATACTTGGGCTTTTTTTTAGCAGATAGATTTATCAAGACTTGGAGTCAGGGCCTACTGCTTGCCTTTGTGTACAGAAGCTAACACTGCTCTCATTTGAGTTATGCATCTAAGGTTGGACTTGCTGCATATAGTAATACAGTAATTAACAGTAATTCATCATCTGTCATCAGAGACCTTCTAGCTGTTGATACTATCCTAAATGTATTTCCTTTTAAAAACAGCTTTTTTAAAGACATGGAGGTCTCATAGTATGTATGTGATAACTAGCTGAAACAACCAGCTAAGCTAAATTCAGTTCCCAGATGGAACCTAATGTTTGGACACAATGACTATTACATTTGCTGTGTTAAAGAACCAGCTATATTCTGTTCCCTCAGCAGGGCAAAATGCACGAGTTGAGAATTACTGGTTATTTACCCAATCCCGCACGTGTTCCTACACAAATATGGACATTACTTAGTACCACTTTTAATTGGTCCAATATTTTAATATTGAATAGAAACACTCCAGGGATAATTTCCATTGTTCTGTTGTTGATGGATTCCTTTCATGAAGGAAAAACATAATTTAACACTGAGGAGGGAGTTACAGTGCTCTGACATCGGATAAAAACACAAGAACAATGGGCAAGGATAGTAGTACTTGCAATTACCTTATCCCTCCCAATGAAAGGGACAAATAAGTATATAAAAGCATTTACTACTTGACAATTTGGATTATGAAGAGCAGATCTGGGTGTTCATTGATAGAAGTGTGGAAGTCCTGGAGGGAGAAGTAGGGAAAACTCAGTTTTCATGTGACTGAGCCACACTTTTGTCAGGTAGCCATTAGTTGTGATTTGTGGTATACCGTTCTGAACCAGTGAAGGGCAGCACTATCCAACTGTTTCAGGTAACTAGATAGATCACTAATTATGTTTTCAAATTTACAATGATGAAAACATTGTGCTTGACTGGATTTGCTATGAAAATGGTTGTGTTGCTGTATTACTACAAAACAGTAACTTCAAGAGCATTTTGTAATCATCAGCAGAATTCTGCAGCTACAAATTAACAGCTTACTTGTAACGGGTTTTAGGAAAGGGCATTGCATTTATTGAAAAGCTGAATCTCTTGCTACAAGTATGGTCAGTTCAATTGCATTATTAGGTTACAGCATAGGGTCTACACATCAAAACAGATTTTAGCAGATTGAATTGTGGTTTGTATCAAAAACACATAAACAATACATAAACAATTTGTATAAAAATACATAAACAACAATACAGATGTTTTTGTAGTTCAGAACAAAAAGAAGGTATGCTTTTCTACACAAATTGGTAGATGAGATTAGTTCTTTTATTTCTGAAGTTTCCTTCAGCTTTTTTTTTAATAGGAAATAATGATTTGTGTGTCTGATACTCATATTTACACTCAATATAAAAGGATATTGGAAAGAACTTTCATTGACAATTTTTTTTTTCTTCACATCTGAAATCTAGTTGTAAACTTAGACAAACTCAAAGTTTTATCTTATTTAATATGGCGTTTGGGAGGGAATAAAATTAAAATGTGGTCTACTATTTAGTCTAATTTAAATATTATAAACCTATGTGCACATTTAAAAATTACTTTATAGCTTTTTGTTTTTTACCCTCAAAATAATACCTTGACTTTTCAGAGGAAGCTATGTTATGCTACAAGTTCATGCTAACAATAGTTCATCTATTTACTTGTAAAAACAAAGCTATACATTGTTCTGAATTTGAAGCATTCTTCATGGCTGTGGAAGAATTGGTGAATTGGTCCTGTTAGATGATTAACTGAATACCCTATAAGTGAAGATCTTCACCGTGATTTTGTAGTAGAGAAAGGTCTCTCCATGTATATTCAAATAGCAGTCAACAGTATTAATTTGCAGCCTTATTCCTTTTTACAGAGAAAAGAATTATTTTAATACTAGGAGTATTTTACTGCTAAAAAGAACACGAGTTCTTGACTCAGCTCATAAATGCAAGTGTGTGCGAAATTGAGCCTTAATGTGTCCTTCCCATCCACGCTGGCCAGCCATTCTGCAGTGGGCTTGTGCAGACCCAGGGAGGTGCCAAGGCCTGAAGAGAAATGGAAAAATGTGTCTGGGGTCTCCAGGAGCAGTTCCAGGTGGAGTGCCTCCCACTGACCCTGTGGACAGTACACTGCTGATTAGCTTTTTAGAAGTGATAAAGATTAGCGTAAAGCCCAGCCATAGAGCAAGCCACTGCCGACTAATCCAGAAGCCTCTATGTTAACCTCAAGAGTTTAATCCAGAAGCCTCTATGTTAACCTCAAGAGTTTTGGGGTGTGACGTATGTATGAATAATCGTTGAGTATGCATCTGCTGTAAGCAAAATGCAAACTTGTGAAAAAGTTTTACATAGTTGCTAGAGTTAGCAGAACTCCTTTTGCTTTATCTGGAATTATTTTTGTTGTTTTGTCCACTCTGAATATTTGAAGTGGTAAAGTGAATTCAAATGGTGACACTGTGTCCTTGCAATGTTTTGCATAATGTGAATGCTTTAGATTTTTTTTAAAAATGTCTTTCTGGCATACTGCAGGCCTTTCTGCCAAAAAAAGTCCAACTGTTGTGTAACAGAGTAGGAATTTCCCCACAGTGCTTCAAAGATAGAAAAGTAGGCACTTGGTCTGAGCAAGTTACCTGGGCTCGCTAGTCTGAGGGGATTAGATCGACAAGGATTCATTGTGTGTACGAGATCTGAGTTAGTGAGAATCCAGCTGGGAGCCTTATGGCTTAGAGGTTGGCTCCAGGTGAGTGATCTCTTGGGCACTGTTTCTGCTAAACCACATTTGGGAGAGGTCCTGGCTTTATTTCCTTATCCTCTTTTTTACACAAACGTACAACTCCTTCAGCCTCGCAGTATTGGAGAGAGGATGTCAGGGCCAAGATGATGCTAGTTGTTTTCTTTCTCTAGCAGACTTGTGTACCAACTAAACATAAATATCAGGAAATTCACATTCCTATAGCCAACACCATTTATTTATATTTTAAAGTTCACCTACATTGCACAACATTTATTACTATATTTATTGTGCAAGACTGTGTAATTAATTAATGAAAAATTCCCCTTCTCTTTTTAAGGAATTAAAATAATATTTTATGGGATGTGTCTGGGGCACCGGTTACAAATTAAAATGGCGACATTTGCTGCAATAATGGTTTTTATGTTGAAGAACCAGACCAATAGATCAGATTATAGAAAGACGAATGAACAAATGAATTAAATGATTAAAAGCTGAAGATGGCACTGAAGTTTATATGTTTACTCTGGTATGTAAAACATCTATTGATCTGAAGTTTGATCAGTAATATTTACAAATTTATTCTCATATACATTGTTATGATTGTATTCTCTGGCATTAAGAGTGTGCTAGATTACCTGAGTAGGGCTCTGGCACTTCACCTTGAACAATGATTACTCAGGCTGCTGCAGCTTCTCAGACATCTTGGGGAGCTCTGCTTTCCATGCATTGGTAGGGCTTCCACCTGAGGGGAAAAAAAAAGAGCAGGAGGGAAAATGCTCCTCCCAGGTGAAATTATACCATATGGATGCATCAGTTCTCTAGTGGTGGTGTGTGCTGTGTCTGAAAGCACAGCTAAGAGGCTGAGGAGAGCTAGTGGGGCTGCCCCTGGGCCCAAGGCATCTGTGGCTGGAGAGGGAGGGAGAATAGTCTGGGGCTCTCAGCAGTGCCTCCTCCTTCGGGGCAGGGTTGTCTTTCTGAGCAGGAACAGTGGGGTGGGGAAGGCCACAGGGCAGTGACTGCATGAGTTTGACAATTGGCACGAATAAGAGAGAGAAGGCAGAAGGAGATCAGACCCATCTATAAGGTGGACCCCTGTCAGGCTTGTGAGCTCAGACTGCAGGGCAGCGTGTCTCTGGAGATTTCTTTTGTTTGTTTTCAGAGGTCTGTTTCTTCAGGGCTTTTAAGAGTAAGGTTCCTGAGGGTAAGCATTTCTTTTCCTAATCCCTTGTTCCCCATTTCCTTTATATATGTTCTGAAAAGGCATTCTATTAAACATCAGACATGCGCTCCCCTGCATTTGGACATTTGGAGGGGTCCAAGGACTGATTTCAGGACCTAAGAGGATGGGAACTCACTGTGTTATGCTCCAAAAAGGCATGTACAGAGAGAAAAAGATGTGAACCTGGAGGTTTCTCTTATAACATAGATCTTAAAAAGAACTGTGAACAATAGGCAAGTAATTCCAGAAAAGCAAAACTGGATCAAGCTGATCCAGGTGTTTGTTAAGAGTGAAAAGCTCATGGGCAATGGATATGGTCTGCTGATAAAAGAGAAAGTACAAGGGATCTCTGAAATCAAATATTTTAACAGAATTAATTTTTTAAGACTTTTATGGACAAACACATAAAAGGGATTAGAAAGAAAATTTTCTGAAATCAGAAGTTAAATGCCAAGAGGATGCATCTAGCATCCATATTGTAGTTGATGCTAAAGCTATAGCTGCTTTCGGTGGGTGCGGGGTTCAGATTTGGCTCTTTCAGAGATGCCTGTCGTGTCCTTTGGACCAGCTACCCTCTTTGGCTCTTTGATTTCAGCAGCTTTGTTTGCAGATCTGGGGCTGGGTTCTCAGAGACTGAGAGCTGGGAGAGCATGTTCTGACATTAGCATCTGCCCCACTGAGGAATCTGGCCACCAGTTTCCAGTCCTGCCCAGCATTTCATGCAGATCAGAATCAACATCAGCTAAAGCTGTATCGGGAAGTAGTGGCCATGTATATCTTTCTGACTTTCCAGTTTGCAGTGCCCCTCTGTATTTTTTCCTAAACAGAAAAATGGTAATTAAAATTATATGGGGAACATACAATTGGAGGTTGAAGCAGTAGAGCACAAAGAACATAGTCATATCACTTATGCAAGACTATAAACAAAAATATTTGTTCTCATTTTTCATATTTCTCACCTGATGGCTGAAATCACAGATAATATCCAGAATGAGAAACATTGTGCACTTGACTAGTACATATTGCAACTTTTAAAAAAATATAATTTTATACAGTCGTATTATTTTTTATTTGTAGATATTTATTGGCATGGATCTGAATGATATTTTTACAGGAAATATAAATGTGCTGCTCTGATTGGAGTCTCTAGTGATCCTACTAGACCATTCCATAATGGGCACCACCAGCAGGCAAATCGGGTCGCAGGAACCAGCAGGAAGGGTGTGATAAATACTCTTAGGAGAGTCAAGGCAGTACAGCTTATAACTGCAGATGTTAAAACCTGTAAGTAACTTTACTTAGGGGAATAATTTCATATTAATTCTTAAGGGTTCTTTTGTTTTTCTAATTGCATTCTCATGTAAATAAATATGTAGGTTATCTTACCAAACAGATAACACAAAGTCTTTTACAATCTGAAATTTAAATATTTAGAGCTGTGTCATGTCATAAGTTGTTGCCTGAGCACTCATTTACTTCCAAGAAACTTGGTCCAGCTACCCTAAAACAGCTGCTTACTCCATTCAGGTTCTTATTAAAAAACTCTATTTAAAATAGGAATCTGAACTAGTTTTTGTTATGTTTTTGTTGTTTTTTTTTTTTTTTAAATTTTGTTTTAAGGCCCTGTTTTGCTCAGCCCAGCAACCTGAGAGTCAAAAGATAGGCACTTCTTAACATAAATAACATGAAATTTATTTGAAAAGAAAACAATTAGAAACATTGTTTTCTAATCCATTTCACAGTTTATTGATGCTGACTAGTGAAAAAAAGTACATCCAGAGTAATTTTGTCACTGGACCATCATAGAAAGTGTGATTAGTGTCATAATGAATAATAAACAATGTGCAGCTGGAACTGCGGGGAGGAAGTGTGTGCATGACTGAAGTAGAGGTCTCATGGGCTAATTGTGGGTGTCAAGGTCCTCTTCCCTCCCTCAAATGAAGAAATGAGCATCTAGCAGCACGAACAATTGCTGTTCTGTTGTCTTTCATACCCAGGCTGCTAAAAGAGCATGGGAAATTAATTGAGATATGTGTCAAAAATGACACTAATATGGAAAGTCTATTTCCTTACCACGGGGCTCTCTAGGATGACTTGTGTGTGGTTGTCTCACTGCAGCTGTGGTCTTATTATCACCATCAGATGCATCCGCTTGCTCATTTCTGTATCCTTTTATTCACCACAGATCAAAAACAGAAGGTCCATTTCAGCTGTGTGCATGTTCTCCAGTCAATGCAATAACTTCACCAGTTTTCTCCTGCAGATAGGCTTCTTCGCTCCCATCTGCTGTGTAGATCTTTAAAGTGTTGTGGGAATTGCTTAAGCAACCTCGGTGTATCAGATGAGAGATACATTCACCGTCGAACAGATAGAGAACTTCTCTTCGCTTTTAACAGTTTTGAATCATTTAGTTAATAGCTGGTTAGTGGTTCATGTAGCTTTATGGCTTCTTGGCAGCTTCCTGAGAAGGTGGGAATCCTTGGATGGTGTTATTGCACCGTGGTTACATAATATATGTGATGTCATCCTCTACCACAACAGTTGTTAGCAACCGTATGGAATTAATCCAGCAGCCTGGGGATTTCTGGAGAAGCTATTCTAGTTTTGTCCTGGTGGATACTGAAAATATTAAGGGATAAATAGGATGAAGTTTGTGTTAATGTCATCTTTGCTCCACCCTGCATGGTATGTTAACATACATCAATCATCTGTCTATATCTGCATTTCTCAATCCTATTGCAAATTACTGGAACCAGCCACTCTCCGTATGTATTTTAGAAATTAGTCTCTGATTATTAAATCATGACTGCATGTTAACACACATTATTTTTATAAATCCACTGCAGACTCCCATGCATTATAAATAAATTGTATTAACTCCAGTTCATATGAAATATTTATAAATATTATAGAAAGGGCTCACTTTCTGTGCATAGTTATTAGACATTTTAGATTATAAAAGATTGCAAATGGTCAATTATGTAAAATTATGAGAATACAAACTTAAAACTAGGCTCATAATCCTACAATGAGACACAGAAAACCAAGATTCCAACTGGGTTCAAGAAGAGTGGCATGCTTTATGTTTCTTAATTATCTTTATTTCCCAGTAGTATTGCTATTGCCAGAGCTCAATTTACTATGTGCCAATGAAAGAGTAATAAGTTGCAGAAACACTTCTATATCAGATGAGAGAGTTTTACTCTCCTCTGTTTTCAGAACATAAACTCATAGAGGACAGATGATTTTAGCTATACCATGTTTGACTCAGAGCAGTTTTAGAATTTGGGCAAGAATCAGTTGTGAAGTAAACGGTTCTTACCAAAAACCCTTCTGGAGATGGACAGTGAGGCTGTTGATGTCACTGAATGTTAAGCAGCTAATAGGAATTAAAAATTTAAATATTTTTATAAACCTAGATCACTACTACTGAGGCTTTGAAAAGATAACCTAGCATGGTGATAAAACCCAGAAGCCACAGCAGGACTTCTGAGGCTGCTGGTTCACAGTGCTGTAGTTTATGGACTAGGGAAGGACATGGCTGAGTGACAGGAAGAAGTTTTTAAAAATATTTGAGGTTCCACTGAATTCAATGGAAAGCATCTTTTCTTCTCTCTGAGAACCTGGGGAGACCAGTGACAAATACCTTCGAAACCCTCAGCCTGGTGGTCCAAGCTGGCCTTCATAGAGCTGCCCATTAATTTCCCCAACGAGGATTAGAAGCTTTTGAGATGTTTTACCTTTTTATTTTAGTGAAGAAGGACTTCTAAGAGGACTCCGTATGGTCTTTTACATAAATATGATAAACTTGTTTACCCAGCCTCCTCTCATCCACAGCTTTCTTCTAACTAAATCTAGGTTATGTCCCTAGTTAGAAAATTTAATTAATAAATAAGTTAAATGTTTGTGCAGCACCTTGAAGCTGTAAAGTGCTGTCTAAATCCCAAGCACTAGCAAGTCTCTCAATTACAATACAGTGTGTTTATACAAATATGTTTCACGTCCTCAGAACATTTGGACTAAGTGGAGCATATTTCCTGTTGAGAATAGATTTTGCTAGTTAGAAGCCATGCCTTATGAAATGCAGACTGCTGTCACAGCATCCAGTTCAGGAAAAAACCAACATAAAGAATCATAATTTGCTACATTAAACCCACATTTTCTAAATATTTGGAAGCAGGAGTAAAACATTTCAAAGAATCCCTTCTTCCTGGTTTAATGTGAATTGTGTTGATTTGCTGATTACAGAAGCACCTGCAAGTTTTATTATAGTGGCATTGCATTTGACTGTAGTTAGTGGTCTGACTATTTTCATTATGTATTTTTATGAGTTTATCATTTGGACATTTTAAAATGAAAACATAATGGAAATCTAATAGAATTAGGAAGCTATTCTCTAAAAGAACAGTTTTCTCCATAGCCAATGGAGGAAACTACCAATACTAGTTTTCCAATCGCAAGCAAAGGAGAGTGCTGGCTTTGGGAACACTGGGATTTGCTGTGAGGTCCAGGACTGCAGACAGGGAGAAGCCTTTCTCTAAAGTAGTCTTCTGTCACTGTAGTTGCAGGAGAGATATAATAAGATGCATGAAAAGACTTAAAGAAAATGTAGTCTAAGTCACAGTTCTCTTCTCTTTTTACACTTAAGACGATGACTTCTCTCTGTATATACCAGGCTATACATTATAACCATAAACTTTCTTTGACTTAGATTATCTTTAGCATTTTGATTCTTGAGTGTTGAAGCTGTCAGGCAATGCCTCAGCAAGCAGAATCTGTTTTTTCAGGGAAGTATTTCTCATCATTACAGTGCCTTTCAGCCCTAACTAAGGATAGTTTATGAATTACAATGTCACTGCTAATGCCAGTAAAGAGGTCACATTTTGCTGTGATGGAGAAGAAAAATTGTGCCTAAGGACTCCAGAGAATGCACGTACATTTTGGGTAAAGAGCTGTTAGACATCTAACAGCCATGTCAGAATTCATATGCTTGTAGTTGAAAACTGATACTGGATAATTAAGCCCTGCCAACAGATAGCCTCAAAGATATGCTACCAAGGATACAGCATGCTATTCATGGCATTAAAAAAGCCTTAAGGTAGAAAACTCTGAATTGCTCACCATTAGGCTGGCTCTGCTGCCAATAAAGTCAAAAGTAGAACTCCTGTCATCCTCCCTAGGAACCATGCTGCACTACTGACACACGTGTCAGGTAATTTCGTCATTAATTGCATGACCAAGTATCTCAGTTGTAAGTCTGACTCAACCTTACCCATCAGTTAAAAGTATAGATGGGCAAAAAAGCAATTGTTTTTGCAATGACTATCAAGCCTTCAGCGTTATGGAGTTTTTTTGCCAAATTAAATTGAAGTTGCGAGGAGATAGAGAAAACTCCTTTCAGAATAGTGGTCTGATAAGACACAGCTGCTTATGCAGTGATTAGGAAGTCACCTAAGTGATAGTTAAGAGAATGATTCCACATACTTGAGCACTAGCCTGCTTATGTGTTGCTTTCCGTCCACTCCCTGGGAGCAACAGTGCCCCAGCAGAAGTTATAAATCACATCAGGCAAGGCTGCAAGAAACTGTCCTGGTCCCCATCATTTGCCCCTCCTCCTGCAGGGTCCCTGTGTGCCCCACTCCATCCCACCTCCCCTACCTCTGGGCTGTGGGCAGCACCCACGTGGCATAACTGTTTTCATTGGCAAAAGCTACCCACCCTAAAACTCTTCTTTTGCAGCTTCACGATCTTTTGTCATGCTGCGTTCTGAGTCCATGATTAATATCCATCTTTCATGTGAACTGTTACCCTGAAAAGCACTTCTGAATGATGCTCAGGTCCCTGGGAGCTTCCCCATCCCAAGGTACTGCTATTCACTTCCTGCATTTGCTCTTCATCAGCCAAAGGCAGTTTATTCTATCTTTTTTTTTTTTTTTTTTGCTTTTAGGTCTATTTTCTCTGATATTTTCTATCCTATGGAAATCAGATGATAGGCAGAACTACAGATGGAATTGAACTGAGTAATGCTGGAATTCATTATGCCAGACTTCTACCTATGTTTTGCATATCTGAAAGCTCGTAATGATTTTTTTGTGGATAATTTATCATTGACGCAACCTTTACTTGTCTCACCCTTTCGCCTATCTTGTCAACCGAGACCAACCCTGTAGAATAGAAAAATCCTCCACTTCCCTGGCCAGCTCTGTACTGAGACCTGCTGGTTTCTCTGCCTGTGATCCTACACCTGCTTCATTGCTGGACTTCCCTTAACTATCTCATGATTTTTCTGTTAAATGCATAAGATGGTATTGCAGACAAGTTGAGCTCCCGTAACACAGCGGCCATGGGAATGGGTTGCTCTGTTTTAGCCTACTCTGTGTGTTTATCCCATACCTGCTTAATTGCTTAAATGCCTGATTTTATTTTTACTTTAAATCTGGCTTTGCAGGTGAATTTTTTGATGTGTTACAGAGTGGGTGTAGAAGCTTCTCTTCTTCTGTGGGTGTCTTTCAGTTGAGGTAGCCCATCAGTGCAGGCTCCCTGGTCCTGTGTGACCTCAAAGGACTTTTGTCCATAGGAATTTCAAATCATTGTTTCAGCTGATTAGTAAACAGCATTTACTATAGATACTAAAAACTCAAACACTTAAGAGATCTTCACACTGCATAGGCTATTATGCAATACCTACACTGTTTGTGGTTTTTTGTCTAAGATAATCATATACCTTATAATTTGGTTCTCACCAGGAGCAATCTCCAGTGTTGATCAAATGTTTTCTGGTGATTCCTGAAGCTTTCTGGCTGACACCTGCAGTAGTGACCCAATATGTATTTTTGGTGTATGGTATGCAATTTACTTCTTTAGAATGATCAGGAATCCTAACACGGAGGTGGGAGATTGCAGTCTTTTGTTCCCAAGAACCATGCTTCTTCACCCACCAGGTCATCCAATTGGGCGAAGTTGCAGCTAGTATCTAAACCAGCTGTTTGGTTTGATGGGGAAGTGATGGATGATCACAGTGTAGATACTTTCCTTGTTTCTTTAGTAAGTACTAGGACTTTTTCATGCTTTACTGGGTGAAATCCTATAATCCTTTACATGAATGTAATAGTACTAATGTCCATTGGATTTTGTTGTTAAAATTGAGCTGAATTTAATTTATTACATTTTATTCAATTAAATGCAATTTCTAATTAAAAAGTAGTAGTTCCTATGATACTCTTTGCATTCTTTGTAGCACGTGTGTGTTTTAAAGAAACATACAGCGTTTATTGAGATCATACTAGCTGGTATGAGGGTTACCAGACCAATAGCTTTAACTCAAATCTACAGTAAATAGAAGAATAAACCCCAGGGTAAATATTGGTAGCTTTATAGCTCCCATAGCACAACAGGGATTGCTATAGGAAAGCAGTCAATTTCTGTGCAGGCTTTCGGTGTTGGTTTTCCAGCAGTTATAGCAATTTGAAACTTAAAATGCACAAAAATATTGCTTTCACATAAGCAAAATATTTTCTCCAGCACTCTCGTCCAATTGCCTGATGAAGAAATGGCCAGTGAAACAAGTAAGAGATCCCCAAGCTACAGCTCTGTTGACCTGGCTGAGATCAGGCTCCCTTGGCATGTCTGTGTGACACTGGGCAGTGTAAGACTCCCTGCCCACCCCAGCCAAGGTGTTGTGTCCACAATGCGAGGTGGGCTGGATCCCTGTGGGAGCGGGGGGTGCATCTCAGACTTTTCCAGAGGTGAATATTGCCTCTCTGCTTGCCCCTTTGAGTTGTCATGTCTAAAGACTTTTTAAAACCTTCCTTTGTCTGGTTCCAGTTCTAGTTCTCCACCTTTATTCTTCTGGTACTATGAAATACTTATATATATATATATATATATATATATAAAATATTCCCTAACCAAGTATATTAAGAGAATTGTACTTCCCGGTACTTATCAACATGTTATCTGGATGTGACTTCTGGATGTGAGTTACAGTACAAATATGCATTGAAATACATGAACGATTTAGCTGTGGAAATATTCTTAATTAACAAAATTTACAATATCCCCTTCACTGACCAGTGGAAGAAAGGAATCAAGCATGGGCAAGTGAAGCTGTCTGATTTTGACAAGAAGTATAAATTGCACTTTCTTAAACTGGAATGCTTCCCAGTTTCCTACCCCACGCTGAAATTCAGAGTGCAGGGCCGAAAGGATCTTGAGATTGTCCAGTCAAACCTTTTCTTTCTGTTACACTGTTCAGTTACTCTCTGTTTGATGTTGGGCTCAATAGCTCACTGAATTAGTAATTAAAAATATGTTCTTAATTTTTAGTTTGAATTAATCTGCCTTCAGCTTTTGGCCTTTGCTTCTTGTTACACTTTTTTCTGCTAGATTAAATGTTCCTTTAGTGCCTGGTATTTTCTCCCCACAAGGTGCATATCTGTTGTAATCAACTCACCACTCAATCTTCTTCTTGATAAGATAAACAGATTGAGCCGTCCAGGTTTCTCACTGTAAAGTATTTCCTCCAGCCTAAAATAGTGTATGTGAGTCTCTTCTACACATTCTTCTTTTTTTTTTTTTTTTTTTTTTTTTTTTTTTTTAACATCCTGAGCCTTACAAGGCTTCTTATATATAAAAGGAGCAAGCTTCCACAAAAATTGCTTCCCCCCCTGCCCCCCCCCAGAACAATCATCATACAATGACCCTATGCAAGCCTCAAAATAACAAGAACTGGATTTCTTTTGACAGCATTCATTTATTAGGCAGTGAGGGCAGTGAGGGCAGCTGAATGTATCTGAATCTTAGTGCTTCATTTTTGGGTGAACCAGATTGCAGTAAAATCCTCTGATTCACTGAAGGGGAAGGTGAACAGTGGCTTATGTCTCCAGGAGAGGCCACCTTGTCATGTCACAGCTGCTGCTGTGTTGGACTTAAACCTGGAAGCTTTGTGGAGGGAATAGGAATTGTGTTCAGCACCAGAACTAGGGATCATGGCATGGCCAGCCCTGATATACCAAACCTGGGAGTGAGTTCCTTTCAACTCAGCATATTCTATGATTCTGTGATTTGGTGATATTAAGCATATCTGATATCAAGCAGTAGCAAACATATTGTGGGTGCAGAGGGCTCGGGGGAGGAAGGCAAGTCAGATGAGTAGTGCTGATACTGCTGCCTTTGGGGGTGGGGAAAAGGGAAGGTTTATCCTGGTTGTGCAGGGAAGGGCTGAGAGCAGAAGGAAACTGCTTCACCACTTGAAAATGCTTAAACCCCTTGTTTACTACTCCTGTGGTATTGTTGGTAGTGATGTGGTCCAAGGTAGTGGTATTGTTGGTAGTGATGTGGTCCAAGAACCAAATGCTATCAGCATTTGCATTTGCTATCAGTATGCTTCAGTAAGTTTTAAAAAAAATGTGATTTGCCCCAATTTGGTAACTACCTCACTTTAAAACACAGAATAATTATATAGATAATTAAAAAGGCAGTTTTAGGGCTAGTAAAAAGAATAGCAGAATAAAGGACATACCACTTAAGTTTCTCTTTGTTTACCTGGTGGAATCAAACTCCATTTTAGAAGACAAAGTAAATTACAGGTGAGTTCCTCCTGATGCTGTTTTACAGAACTTTGCTTTTCTGCTGTTTGTAACTGCAAACCTCCACATGAGTGCAGGAAACTGCCCACAGAGGCTTTACTGCGTGGTCTAAATAACAAAAAATTCCTGCACTCGAATACAGGAATGCTATATATGGTGAAACACGTGGCATTCCTGCCTTCAGCTGCTGAAGGATGGAGGAGATGATGTGGTGGGATTTCAATAGTTGTCTATGGCTGAACAGTCATGGTTCAATAGTTTTTCCCTGCTGTTAAAAAAAGCTGTTTAAGAAATTGCTAATACTTCATTTAAAACCTTGATCCTTTTGATGTGATGACAGGGGGTCAACCTTGGAGGCGGTGTCACCAACAGAAAGATATGAATGTTCGGCATATAGAAGTATTCATTAGTGACTCATAAGCAAGTATGCCTGGCTACTAATTGGAGATTTTGTGCAGAAAGATTATATTTAAGGGCTCCATACAATCTAACTTATTTTTGTTCTGCTGCTTGTAAGGCTATCTTTTTGGCAGGAAGAACTCATTAATCAGAATCCTTCCTTTTGTAAATGACAGGGTATTGAGAGGGTGGGGAGAGAGGAGGGCAGGTAGAATGTGCATCTGAAATGCCAGAGAGATTTTGCACTGATACAGCTCATACCACCAAATAGCAGAAGGGATGTCAAAAAAGAGGAAAACCTCTATTTTAGTGCTCCTTATGTCAGTGCATCATTGGTGAAAACCGGCTCTACTTCTGCATGTGAAATGTGAAGTTGCACTTTTATGATCCCTTTCTATTTGTTTATTTTTTTAAAGCAATGCAGCTAAAATCCAGTGTGCTTACCATCAAATTATTTGAATTACCATCTTAAATTTTACATTCTCAGCTGACTTCTCATTGTCTAAGGGTTCTTGTTGGAGTAAGGGTTTGTGGGGAGCTGTGGGGTTTGTGCAGGGAGCCTGATCCTTCTCCCACTGGGTATGGGGGTATCCCCTTTCTACCCATGTGCAGGGGTTGCTCTCCAGCTACCAGAGGCAGTGCAGCCTGGAGAGCCCACTGACCAGAGCAGCAGTGGAGTTCACAGGGTACCTAGAAACAGAGAACAGCTACGTATGTGCCTGACAAACCTTTCCTTGGCAAGCTTCCCTTTGAGCTAAGGCCAGTGCTGTTTTCACATTTTATTGTTCTTGAGCAAGAAACAGATCTAACTTAAACAGCTAGAAATGTATCTCCGCCCTTTCAAAGGACTCAAATATGCATTCTGTGAAACAGTTTTCTTGGAACAGAAAACTTGGTATTTAAGTCTTTTTGCTTACTCTATATCATATGGTAAGAGGTAGAGATTTCACATGTTTCTACTGGCAGAACCACATTTTATCCTGTTCTAGCAAGGCCAGATTAATCTATTTTTTAAGATAATAAATATGTCATTGATCCT